GAATTTAAGATAGATCATATCTGATGCAACATATATATATATATATATATTTATTTATTTATTGAACATTGGGAAACCAGGGGAAGAGGGACTACCGTCACAAGGATTTGAACCATGGTGGTATCCAAGGTCTTAGATGCACCCTATCATTGCAGCCACCGCTGCAGGTGCCATATATATATTGAATATGAACTTTTAGACCTTTAAACATGGAATTACTAGAGTTTTGAAAGTTAGTGGTTATCAAACTTTCATAGGAAAATAATACAGTAAAAATAAAAATATATCCACAGAGAAATTCAATTGAAAATATTGAAACTGATGAAAAAAAAGAGAAAATATTGTAAATTAAGAGAAAAGAGAAGCATACTCACAAAGTAAAAGAAGCTTGTTCCCACCAAACAATGATGATAGTACTTCGACCAACACTGAAATAACAGGGGTTGGTTCCAAAGAGCTTTTGTGAAAAGTCAAATCTGGAAATTTGCGCAGCAGATCGAGTCCAATATCTGATTCGAATCAAAAATACCATACCAGTTTATTTGATAAAGGTAAAATAAAAGCAAGCATGCATATATAGCAAAGAGATTAAGAAAAAGAAATAATATTTACAGCTCTTACCGAACATATGATTCCTTATACACTCTTTGAGGAAGAAGAATCCATGGTCGTCGCCATTTCCTGGATCTAGAAATTCTTCAGGTGTCACTGAATAAAGATAACGAGTCAAAGACTGATGGTGTGTGGCACATGCCAGTACAAGTGGGATATTCTTCTCGCAATCTGGGATTTCAAGCAATTTTTTGTTCTTTCCAACCAAACATTCTACGATCTCTCTACTTCCCTTACGAGCAGCCAAGGAAAGAACTGTCTCACCACTCTTATCTTGTGTTTCCAACTCTTCTTTTGACATCACCGAAATCAGTTTCTTAGCCAGGTTTATCTTGCCAGTAGTAATTGCAACATGAAGGGCAGTGGAACCGTTTTCTAATGCTGCAGAATACGGAGGATGTGTTTCAAAGAGTTTCTTTACAGCATCAGAATCCCCCCTTTTTATGTCCTTGAGCAATGTCACAGCTTGTTTCCTTTCAATCCTGATTCCTGCCAAGGATTGTAAGATTGTTTTCTGAGGCAATATTAAAATTAAGAAAAAGGAAAGAGTACTCTGTTTTTTAGACAGATAAAATATAGAGATGGAATATAAACCTCTATCATTGTTCCCGTTTTCATTTGGCTGTTTATGCAAATTAGCCAATGCATTCCACGCATCTTTGGCTGAATTCTTCTTCTTAATCCGATCAAACTTTTCTGCTCCACATGAAATCTTAATTGCATGCAGAGCTAAAGCATTCCTTTTAATCCACTCCTTTGGGTCTTCTCCATGAACGTGAGGCATCTTGCTTGATATAACCACATCCAAAGGTCTTGAACCACTAAATAGTGTCGCATAAAAATACACCTTCTTTCATAATTATCCTCTTGAAGAACCTCAGGCACAATCATGCATGTAGCTATTCCTATGTTACCCTGTATACAAAATGCTTAACTGTGCAGAAAACATTTTTCGTTTGCCACAAAAAGAACATAACGAAAGATTTAACAGAAGCAGCTGGTGATCATATATCATTTTTGGTAATAACCATACTAATTTAAAACCATGCATGTCTATGCACTTAAGAACATTCATGGATAGAGGTATTAAAAACAAAACTAACATACTTACAGATGGAACCGGTTGAACCTGATTAGCCTCCATACCTCCTTAGTAAGTTGCTGTAGATAAACAAACTGATACCGAAGGAATGAATTGTAGTTCTTCAGGACAAGACCTATGCTTATATATATCTACACAAATCTTAGGAATCAAGTAAAAAAATTTCTTAGCTTATGAATCAAGATAAAAAACAATACCTATATTAGGAATCAAGATTAAAAAAAAAACATACTTACCTTAGAATCAAGATAAAAACAATATAATAATTATATTAAGAATCAAAATAAAAAAATTAAGAAAATAAAAAGAGTAAGGCATCAAGGTGACAATTAAAATAAAGAAAAAATTTCAAATAAGTTTATAAAAAGGAAAAGTAGTGTTACAAAAAAATGATGAATGATTTGTTATAACATCTTCGATCACAAACTCCTTAAAAGTTGCATCAATATTATTTTGATCTTAAAAAAAATAAAAACTGTGGACCTAAAATAGAGAGAGAGTGATGGAAGGCATTGACATTTGTGATGATACCCAACAAAATTCAACTAGTCTTCATTTTTATTATTATCAAGGATCACTTCCAATTAAGTATATTTAATCTTTAAATTTTACACATAAAAAAATAAAATTTTAAAAAATGGATATATTTAACAAGTATTTTAAAAGTATAGGTTATGGATATAATAAATATATTTTTTAATAATTAATTTACATAAAAAAATATAAAAATTAATATATATTTTAACATTATTAATACATAGATAATTTTAATTAAATAATTAATTAAAATCAATATTTATATTTTTAATAAAAATTAATTGTAAAAAAATATATTTATTAGAGCCTTATTCTATATAGAAGACACATAAAAAAAAAAAAACTCTTAAAATTAATTTCTTTCTAATTTTAATCTCCAAAATCATTACTCTCGCTGACACAGGAACCAATAGTGCATATTCAGTTTGGGCCTGGAGAGCCTAGAGGCCTACCTATTTGTGTAGCCACGTGATGGATTGGAACCACTGTGATAGGCTAAAAGAGGAAAGTTAATCCGTGAAACGGGTCCTTTTTCATTCAAAGGCAGAGCCACCCATATGTCAATTTGCTGGGCTTAGACCAATAAATTGGCATGAGAGAATTGGGATGGCATACATATTTAATGGGCCTTCAGTTTAGTAACCCAAACTCAAATCCATTTATAAGCTTTTTTTTTCCAGCCATCTTTTTATGGGGGTGGGCATGGGAGGCTTTGTGCTGAAGGACTTTTGAGTTCCATGGATCACAGCAACTTCTCAGAGTCCCACATATCTACTTATTCTAGAACTGAAAAATTATAAATATCATCATAAAAAATCACATGGATTGTCAAGAAGAGACAATTTTGTGTAGGTGAAACCATCAATTGTAGGCTTGAGCATGTTGAGATAACATCTTTGAAAAAACATTCAATCAACCCTGTTAGTACAGTTTTCAAGCTTTAACCTAAAACACACATACCTAATTTCAGAATGCCTACTCTTCATCAAATTTATCTTCTTTGGAGCAGGCTGGATGCTACCCACCTGCAAAACATCAGACTCATGA